GGACGGATGGGGAGACGATAATCGTAGAACGACGGGTGCCAACTTGTGTAGGTGAAGCTCGTGGTCGCGAGATGCCTCGCCATGACCATTGGGCTCTACCTCTTTTTCTCGTATTTTTTCCTAGCCACCTTATATGATTGCACCACCTTGACCATAGCATTCCTTCGGATCTAGCAGGTGACAACCGCACTGCTGCGAACCAAGGGAATAGCAATGTGCTAATAGTTGCACTGCCGTGATGCCCTATGAGTTGGTATGGATCGTGGGACTGTATCTCTTCTCTCCAACCTTTGTCCGTTCCATGACAAGTTGGTCGAAAGAGTACAGATTCCATTCTTTTCTCTCTTTGGTTCTCAATCCTCGTCAATCTAGTAAGATGTGGATTGAGCCCCTTGCTTGTTTGGGGTTTATTGCGCTCTTGATTCCATTCCTTGATTCTCGTCGGCTTCTAGGGCGAGTGGATCAAAGGAAGGTGAATCTCGTGTTCTTCTCTTTTGGTTCTTTCATGCTCAAACCCCCGTATGCTTGTACCTTATATGACCATCACATTTCTTTGATTCCCACGGTGATAACCGCACCGCTGTGAATTAGAAAGATGTCTTAGTGCCAGTGCACCTAAGTCGGGTACCCTACGAGTGGTTTGCGCACTTGGTGTTTGTCGCTTCCTTCCAATGCCCCATCTTTCGTCGTGGCATGAGTGTTGGAAGAAGTAGACCTTGTCCCTTGTGGTTCTTGCTCTGGATGCACCGTAGCCGCTCTGTTCGATTCCGTCTTGCCCATGACGATTGGATCAAAGACCAGACTATTCCCTTGGGTTAGCAAAGCTATGGTCTAAGTCGTACCTCAGACCTGTGTGTGTCGACCCGATCGACCGTCTAAAACCATCTTTCCCGAAGATGTGTCTAAGAACGTGACATGGATGTGCCTAGCTAACCCCCGCATCTTTTGCCGTGTTGAGCGACTCTCTTCTCGGCTCCTGACGTTATTGTGTCGTGTGGATCGAGGGGAACTGTTGATGTCCAATCTCTTTGCGCTACCGCTTTCTACCATAGCGGGCGAGCCGAAGTACGTTGGAGCCAAGTTACAATAGTGTTAATCGTTCTTGTTTGCTACTCGTGTCCAATTGTGACTTGCGGGATAAGGCTATAAGAGCCGAACCCCATCGTTCTTCTTTCTTGGGGCCCGACTTCCAATCCCTATCAATTCAATGACACCGGATCGAAAGATCGTGAGCCGTGGTGTTTGCTCTGGATAAGCTCTGGCTTAAACCGTTTATCGTAAAGCCATACTGGCATGGCCATGACTTAAGCTTGTGCTCAGCATACCACCACTCATGTTTCTTTGGCCCATGGATCGGACATCAGCCGAGAGGGCCAAGTCATTTCCTCTTTGTGTTCCTTTTGGGTCTTGTCGCCTTTTTGGAACATTGTTTGTTCTCTTGCCTTGAGTGTGTTTTGGAGGTAATTGCCACGAGGACAACATTGGATCAGAACCCGATGGAGAAGGAGAACGTGATCGATGACCGGACCCTGGGAAGAGGAGACCTTGCTGATCGACTACACCAACTATCGAAGATTTGTACCACTACTACCTCGACATCGCAGGTGTCATGGCAGCACCCTCTTTTAGAGAATCCTATTAGACATTGCATAATATCTAGAACTGCTAGCGCTTTATAAATTATTCATTTGCTAGTACTTTGATGCATGCCACTACCTGAGCCATTATTACCCTAATGCAACCCACTCTACCACGTCACCCTGCCTTGCGCATTCGCTCGCTTATATATGCTTACTTGCCTGCTTGCTTGCATATTACACCACTATACTTATTATTAACTCCACTTCGCATTATGTCGGGGATGTGATGCTGGTGGTGAACCCCCTGGGAATGGTTTGGCTATGGGTGCCGGACTTGGTGGTGTGTGAGCGTGCTGCGTGTGTCTTGGGTGCGTGGAGAGTGAGGGTTGTGTCGACCGAGCTGGAATAACGACGAGCCTAGGGCGAGTCTTGCCATGTGGTGCTACCTGGGCACTTGGATATGGAATACCTGTGGTGGGTAAATGGTAAATGGAGGTGGCCTTGGGTGTGAACTTGTGATGGGAGGAGCCCAGGGTGGAGGTGCTGTGGTGGCACGTAAAATGGAAACCCTGATGAAGACATTCTGGCTTGGTCAATCCCTAAGGACTTACTAGTACTCAGATTCACCGGGAATCCTTTACATCCCACTTGCCCTATATGGTGTGGGACGGTCGGACTACTTGGTAGAGCGATGCCACTACTGCTAGGCGAACGTGTGCAAGGAGGTACAGGGCGCGCGGTTTTCCCCCACACCCTTCCAAGACTTTAGGAGGCCTTGTGGCCCTGGCTCTTGACATCCGGAGGGCCCCGGCTCTGTCTATGACTCACAGTATCAGCCATCCCAGACTAGACTTGGGATGTTCTAGGGCTGAGAGGTAGGGTGGCATCATTCTAGGCTAGCAAGCGACCGGAATTCTGCCTAGGAGATTCTAGACTCCAAGGATGGCTAATCTTGTGGGCATGTAAAACCTCCGCAGAGTGTATGGTTGATCGATTGATACATATGCCGACTTGTCGGCTATGGACCTTTCCTGGGTTTCGCTTAAACTAGATAGGAGATGAGTCCTTTCCTCCCTCCAGGGTTGGGGTATTTTCCGGTCGTGAGCCTTGGGGGCTGCGGGCCGTTGAGACAAGGCCGAGAGGGAGTTGGCCTGTTGACCCGAGTGTGTGAGATGAGATATGGTGTGGTGGTGCGGAGATGGTTTGGGATGGATGGTTGGTGGATGGATATGGATGGCGTGGTGGTGAATGTGTTAAAAACTAGATATTATTACTATATTACTAATGTTATTTACTTCTCATGCGCTAAGGATGCGAACCACAGCCAAATATTAGGATCGCCAGATCCCTTGTTTATCTTTTCCACTAAAGCTCATCGGTGCTGACCATGGCCTACACACATCTAGGCGGTGTGCAGATTTCCTGCTTCTCAGAGATGCTGACTTTAGAAGGATTGGGAGGTCTCGTGCCTACGCTCAAGTTTGGTTCGGAGATGGAATCTACGCTGCACTACGCTAACTCTGATGAGGTCCGTGAAGGAGGAGCCTTCACTCGATAGTCTTCCGCTAGATTAACTCTGTAATAGGTGTGTTCCCCAGTGATGTAATATCTTGTATCCTTGTAATCTTACGATGTATGACTGTGACATCGACTGAAATATGATAATATGATGGAATCAGTTCTTGGTTTTATCATATTAAAATTCATTCTGTGGATTTTCCCTTCAAGGAAAATTGAGGATGTTTCAAACGAGTGACTCCTAGCCAGTTGGGGAGCCTTTCTCCAAGAGTAACAAACATAATCCACTGTCTTGAACATGAACCAAGTGCTCTAGAAGTTGAGGATAAGGTTGAGGAGCTCACTAATCAAGTTTGGAGGCTTAACTCTCAAAGAATCACAAGGGAATCAAGGCAAAGAGTTTGGGGGCCTCCAATGGAGTGAGAGAGAGAGAGAGAGAGAGAGAGAGAGAGCCTTCTGAAGTCTGAGCAAGGGTCTAGTCGAAATGGAGTGAGAGAGAGCCTTTTGAAGTCTGAGCAAGGGTCTGGCCGAGATAGCCATTGGGAGGAGGAAGAAGAAGAGGTATAAATATCTCATCTTTCCCAACTAGTTGTTAAGTCGCAGCAGTGCTGCGTCAGCCAGAACAATGAACGTGTAAGTTAGGCATAGGCTGGCTTGGCTTGGTTTGAGGATTTGTTTGGGGAGTAATTGAGCACTTGGTTGCACATTGAAGTTTGTTTATTGTATCCTCCCTTATAGTGCGGCGTTTTCTTTGCTCAAATTCAAAATATAAAAGAATTTAAACGCCTTTGAGTCCAACACCGTGTCCTTTTGTAATTGGGGGCTCCACCATTGCATATACTATCCTCATAATTTCATCTACTTGTCAACTCGATAAATCTCATTAGTCCTCTAATTATGTGATTATCATCTCCAAAACACATAAATTGGGCTTGATTGCACTTACAATAGAACACCAACAATACTACTTATCTTACTTTTTTAGCTGACGCTTTCTAAGGGATGCAATTTCTCCACTTGAAACTGAAAAGATTCCCTTGTCACTGTTTTCCATGTGTTGTTGAGTCTTGCAGCAGCAGCAGCAGCAGGGAATGAGACATGTACGTATGTAACTTTATTTTTTTATTTTATTAGTAAGGAAAAATGAAAAGATTCCCTTGTCGCTGTTTTCCATATGTTGTTTAGTCTTGCTGCTGCAGCCGTAATTGAGAGTCATGTATGGAAAAGAAATAGACAGAGTTGTTCTTTACACGTATATGCAACTGCAGTATGTTATAGGTTGTAAGAGCATCTCCAAGAGTTCCCTAAATATTTCTCCTAAAAATTTCATGTTTTCCAACTCCTAAAAAGGTATTGGGAAAAAGAAAGAAGGCCATCTCCAATAGTTCCTAATATTTCACTTCTAAAAAATATTATTTGGGTCCCACTTGAGTTTTTTTTGCATTACTTTTTTTCCGCGGGGAACTGTTCATGATCGTGCATACATCCGCCGCCGCCACCTCCTTCTTTCGTGTTGCCGTAGCCCTGCACCTCCCAGCCGGAGTTGGCCTCCCCCCAGCAGGCCGTGCCCACAACGGAGGCGGCTGTGGTCAACTCCCAGCAGGCCGGCAGCACTTCCCAGCCACAGGCCGCCGGTCATCTAGTATGACCAGCAGAGCAGCAGTATTTGCCGGCCATGTACTCATCAGCAGAGCACAGTTGCATCCAGGCAATCAGTAGCACAGTATCATGCAGCAGGCAACTAGTCCAATGCAAATAAAGCTGCTGGCTGCCGGCCACCAAGACAAGCTAGCATCAGACGAACAAACCAAATTCACAGAACACAGGTACATTCAGCAACCGCAGGGCCGCCAACGCCGCCATCCACAATCTCGGCTATCCCGCCAAGATTGCCGGACGCACCACGACGGCAGCTGCTGGCGCTGCCAAAAGAGACAGCTGCAGAGGCGAGGGCGCAGGCCACGCGGCCGAGAACGCTGCTGACGCCTTTCAGAGCTCTTCCAGATGGGGTCCGGATCTACGCAGTCATGGCCCTCCGCCGCCTCCGCCGTGCGGAGCGGCGTAACCGCCATGGTTCCGGACTGCTCTCCTTTCCACACGACGACGGCGGCGACGAACTCCTCTCCAGTAGACGGCGGTGGCGACCCTATGCTTCGCGCACTTAGGGGAAAGGCGCGGGAAGAAGGACTCTGCGGGAACGGCATCTCCGCGCGCGGCTTTTTCCGCGTAAAGTTACGCGGAAGGAGGAGGAATTTTCTAAGTCCTAAAAGATTAGGAGTAAATATTAAAAGTTGTTGGAGAGGGGGTTTTCCCCATCTTTCTAAAAAATAAGGATTAGGAGGATGTTTAGGGAACTCTTGGAGATGCTCTAATTGTGCTATATTCAGTTTGTAACTGTGTCATTTTTTTGTTTCCTAGTATATGTATTTTTGTCGTGATCCAGAACAAGAAAACACCATTTACCTTTCAATTACTCTGAGTGCTCGTATTTTGTGCCTCGTTTTCATCGCTCCTTCTGTTAAGCGCATGACCTGCGTAGTTCACAGATCTTGACTGTTCGTTTTCACCTTCTCCATCTTCCTAGGATGGCCTATTTAAGCAGGGTCTGGTGCACCTCTTGGGCTCGTTTGACACCTTCTTCCTCCAAGAACCCTCCTTAGATAAAGAGAATATAGAGAAAGAAAGCACTTGATCCGGTCATCCGTCTTCATCGCCATGTCTCTCCTTCTTCAAGTCCTTCGGCAGCAACACCGGCGCTGGGAGAAGTCCTTCAAGGTTGCCTTCTACCAGCATCTAGGCATAGCGGGGGCTGCTCGATTTAGGTGCTAGTGAAAATTTTGTGATTGAGGTGAAGATGGCTGTTGTTCATCGGGGGCCGCTGGGATGCTAATGGTTATGTTACCATCAAAGCTCCTATGGTTGCTCCGATGAGTAGGGCAATTTTTTTGCCTGATGGAAGCCCTAATGCAATTCATCAATAGAAAGTGTGTTGCTCAGAACATGATAGTACCTTAATGATTGTAGATCTTCTATTAGGCTGTACTGATACTCGACACGTCATTGTTATTGTACGACCAGTAGTCTTTGATAGGTCTTTATTATTGTACACCTGTCAATTGTAACTTACTGAAGTTATCAATAAAGATTAACTTCCACGAAATTTTACTTCATGTGGATGTGATACTTGCAGGTTTACAGTTGTGTTTTAGACATTTTTACCTACAGGTTATTGTAAGTGTGCCGTTCATAGATTTTCAGTTGTGTTTCAGACATGTGCATAGTCTGTTTTGTTGTCCTCTTGTCTAGTCTGGAAGAATCTGAAATACGCATGTTAAAAAATGTGCTACTAACTTAGTACTAAGTATCTTTGTAACATTACGGAACAAAGAGTCGTAACTGTGTTTTTTTGTCATCTTTGGTTATACCAAAAACTACTTTTACCCCAAAACGCATAAAAACCATTTAGTAAGTGACAATTTAATCATTCTGTAACTCATTCGCAATCATAAGTCAGTAGTGACTCTTGCTGTAACTAGATTCATGCTTTAACTCATATATTAATTGGTTGTACTTCGTTGTTTAGCTGTATATTAATTGGATTTGTAACTACGAGGTATATTGACTTGTAATTCGTTGTTTAGCTGTATGCAACTCAGAAAACACAAAACACTACAAAAAAAAAACATCCTATAGGGAACGCACATGTCTGTTTTAATTGTGGTTTGTAAGTTATTGTATTTTGATTTTTAGCTGTGTAGTACATTCAGTTGTAACTCATTCGTTCCCTATAAAACGCAACACACTCCAAAAAAAAACACATCGTACAAAAAAAATCACGCGCGCTGGATCCGGTTGGGCACGCGCGTGAGCGTGTTTAGTTGCGCGTATTGGAGGGGGATGTGTACAGCGCTAGTTCACGCTGTACGCGCGCACAAAATGGTTGCTCCCTATGTGTGTGCATATGTATATATGTGTGTACGGATATCCCAAATTTTGTTTGAAATTTGGCGGGAAACTTTTTCAGAGCCCGTTGCAAAATATAGCCCTCTGTAAAACATATTTGTAGCCACATCTAGAAATAGATTTCTAGGGACGACTGTTGTTACCAACCGCCGCCTCTACAGATCTCGTTTCTAGAGGCGGTTGGACAGCCGCCTCTACAAATCTCTTATTTCTAGCAACCTATGTTAGAGGTAGAGCATCTACAACCACCCGTAAAAAAGCTAGTTGTAGTAGTGAGATGGCGGATGTAGAGAGACTAGAAAAAATCTAGACATCAAGCGTGTGGCGGTGGCGGGCATGCATTAGTGCAGTGCGTCCCTGGAGGTAAGGGCTCCTCGATTGGAGGCTATAGCACTAGAGGAAAAATAGTCTAGAGAAACGGAAGGAAGACAAGAGGTGGTGAGTAAATGAGTGGACGATGAATGGGTAAATATTTTTTATAGAGAGATGGGCTGACAAACACTCGGATCCTAGTATTATTATCTTATAATTTTGTAACTTTGACTAGAAAAATAAAAAATATGTTATCCTATAAAAATGAAGTCTATATAATAAAAGTATTGTTCGTAATGAATTTAATTATCAAATTAATCTATATATGGCCGAAGTAAGAAAAAGTTGACTTAGAACAAACCTAAAATGCCTTCAAATTTTCTAATGAAGATAGTATATACTACCAGGCATTAACAATTTATACTTGTTCTAAGTGCAACACAAAGGCCTGTTTTGCCACGATTGAGTAGTATTACCCCTTTACTAGTGTGATGTCTTAATAAGTCTGTGGTAGACACCATAATGTTTCTCTCATGTGTGCGAGTGCAAGTATCCTATTTCGTACATGGTCTAGTAAAACTAAGCTTCGGTAATACGGAGTATATAAGAGCATCACCAAGAGGCGTTCTAAATTCAACTCTCTATATCTTCAATTTAGCTATCCACTCCATAAAGATTCCCTCTATATAATTCAACACACTCCAACAGACTAGATATATCTCACTCTCCATATTATGCTGATCTATATTTTATTAGTATTCAAATTAATATGAATTGATATATTTTTCATGATTTTTGAGAATCAGAACGACACTCTTAAGTTTAAATATTTTATGAAAACAGTCAATTTGAAGAATTTTAATTTAAAATCTATAAGAGATTTTGAGTTAAATCCAACTAAAATGTTCTGTTGGCAAAAAATAGACATTAATTTTAGAGCTTGATATAATCACCTTTTGAATTTATGAAAGGAGAAAGGAATATAGTTTTGGAGCAACACAAACATGGCACTAGCTATCAACGTCACATACGTCAAAATAGCGAGCCACACCAACCAGCCAAATTTTGCCGCCCACACTCGCGCGATAGCACGTCAAATGGAATGGTAATGGCATTGGCTAGTTGGCTGGAGACCAGTTTTCTTGCGCTTTGGCTAAAGAAAGCACTACCAAGTTAGATTGCAACTCTCCTGAAGATGCTGTAAGTAATCTATTTCGAATTTCGATCAGTGTGACACGAGCAGCACAAGAATTACCAAAACTATCACCGTTCGGCTGCTCACATTTCGGCTGGTCTGGGCTGAATCTGCTTGGCCTTTCAGCCCAGCCGCTCAGCTGCCCTCCTCCAGCCATTCGGCTAGTCTATAGAGCATCAGTTGGTGCCCTCCTCACTCTCGATCTCCCATTCTCTCACGCGCTCCTTGGGTTCGGCCACTCCCAGCTGCTGCTCCCGCCGCCGCCGCCGTTCGGTCTTCGCCCCCACCCCCACTCCGCTTCGCGACTGATGGCCCTCCGTCCTTCTCTTGGGCGAGCCCACGAGCCGGAAGCCGCCCTCCATCCGGCGCATCTTGCCAAATTCGGTGCATCCTTTCTGTCCGAGATCTGCCGCATTTTTGTCCCTTCGTTCGAAGCAGATCCATCCTCTTTCTCGGCGATGGAGTCAACTCTGACGCTCACTCCGGTATGTACTCAAGTTCCCGTCCCTTTCTCGTTCGTACTTGTAGATCCGTTGGGTTAGGGTTGACAATTCCTTGCACCCCTACTTTACTTTTAGTGGAGTCTGCCACCGAGGTCCTTGACGCCACGGTTGCTTCAACGGGTGGCCACTTGTTTCGTGTCCTCCCATTTCCAGATCCGATCCGCGATCGCCGCCGTCGTAGCCACCGGAACCATCCCCTTTATCTGCTTGCTCGTTCCCTGCACCGCCGGATCCAGTACGTACATGACCTTCTCGTGCCCTTTTTCTACACACTTGCAGATCCGGTTGTTTAGGGTTAGGGTTTGTTGCCGTCGTTGTGCATACGAAACATTTACACATGGTTTCTATGTTTGTTATGAATGTTCTCAAATCTTGAACTCTGGCATCTTCCCTTGTTCTGTTCTAGCTGTCTAGAACACTCGAAGGACCTTGGAAGCGCCGGCCTCTAACTGGCACCGTCATCAACAGCTTCCTGCTCACCGCCGGAAGCTACTCGCTACAACTTGCATGCCAAATGCACGAAGCGAACAAGCAAGGCAAGTTCACTGTTATGCACATTCTATCATGTCAATCATGTCGTTGTTTTAGTTATATCGTGCTGGCCTTCGCTATGTGCGCTCTGATTGCTATGCAAAGACACAACGGAATGAGCCATTGAACGTGCCCACAGATGCCACACCCACGCGCAAATTGGGACGACGCTGAAACCAAGCTTTTGCTGGACATGTGCCTTCAAGAGAAGGAAAAGTTCAACTTCGGCCAGTTTGGTGTAAATAGGGATGGCTGGAACAACATTTACCCGTGCTTCCCCAACTATGATTGGAAACAGGTGAACAACAAACTAGGTGCCCTGAAGAACAAACTATCAGCCACTGGGCTCGGTCGGGACAAAAAGGGGGGGGCATTGACGCTGATCCTAAGTACTGGGAGACCCTGGACGCTACCTAGCCCGATAGCGACGAAACTACAGAGTGCGCTGTAAGTTCACTAACTCTTGCCACGTGTTGTCACTTATTTGCCCTTGTAGTGCCTGCTGCCATCCTTCTCACAAACACTTGCCAATCTATTCGTTGCAGGAAACAAGTGCGGCTGGTGCAAG